CACCACCTGGATAAGAAATTTGTTGATCTTGATTTTCTGATCAACAATAATGATATTATATTTCCCAATGTAAAGATGAAAAATCCATTTTAATTATATTTGACAAAATATATATCTCGAATATATGCCTTAACAGCCAAACCATTAAAATCCCCTAATAATATTATATTGGACTAATGTTGTTATCAATCAATTACATTACCACTCAGAAATGAAATAATTTTCTAACAACTTACAAGCAAAGTAAGATCTAAAGAAAAATAACTAATTGAAGCATTATATCAACTCATATACAAGATTTGAACATTATTTCGTATCACTCCATTATGAATCATTAATGGTAATTATAGTAATACAAATTAGATTATCATATATAAATACAATATTTGGATAATAAGTTATTTATTTTTTGTATTGAATTATTATTTTCATAGACTAATAAATCAGATGGAATAACCAAAAAATTTGAAAAATGATTCATTTAATCATTATTTACATTTTTTCTCTTTCGAGGGTGGGGAGAGGGGTTGGTGTAAATTGAACATACATATAAAGGAACAAGGAAACATTGTCATGAAGAAATGACTTTACTTGAATAATAATGTTTCTTTAGAGAGAGAGAGAGAGAGAGAGAGAGAGAGAGAGAGAGAGAGAGAGAGAGAGAGAGAGAGAGAGAGAGAGAGCGACACCTTGGTGTAAGNTACAACCTTACCAATAGAAACTCAAAGGCAATAGCAATCCTTATTTCAACAATTTTATAAATTTGAATAACTTAAAAATAAATTTATTTCGTTAATCCATTCCCTTCAAAGCTAAAAAAAATGCATAAAGATTTATGTCGCAAACGCGTCACAAAATTTTACATAAACGATCAAATCAATTGTAAACCTCTTTTCTTTTTTTTCTTTTTTAAAGATACCTAAAAACGAAAAATGAGCTATGAAGTTGGAGACATGAGTGTCCTCATAAATGAATTATAAATCGAGTTATCTACTGTATTTGATTTAGGAGACAAATATACTGTTTTATTACCAAATACAAGGAGGTTGAACCCCCACTTTCCTGCATAAAGAGAAACCTTATGTACATAGCCATGATTTGCAAGCTAAGCCCATAAGCAATTTTATGCTCTCTCATTCATTTTTCTTCTTTTTCCATTGATGTCTTGGCCCCACTCTCCTCTACTCACTGGCCTTTATCTAAAGATTCGGTAAAGGGAATCTTGTTGGACCCTGTTACAGGCTGGTTTAGAATATGTATTTAAATGGAACTTCAACTAAATATAAGATTATTTTAGGTGTATAAGGATTTGTTATAATTGGTTAAATCTTTTGGAATGGACCAAGTTTCTATAAAGTGATGTCCTAGACTTAGCCATGTAGATGCACAAAGTGAAATTTGGCAAGTGTCAAACGATCAGAACGAAGGTGTGGACTCAATTAATCGTGATGGCAGCAGATTCTATAATTGTAAACTCTCGTAATGGAGGAGGTTCCATTTGTAATGCAACCCTTGTGCAGTCGAATTTATGTAAATCTCAATCGAGTGTGCAATCCTGTTTGACAGGGGATGGATGGAAGAAGTCATCACATGAAATGAGCCGCCGTGACAATCATGAGTGGCCATGATATTGTAGTACTTTGTTCAAGGAATGAATATTAACACAGGCATAGCCAAAATCTTTGAGTTATGGGGCAAACGAAGGTGAAAATAAATTACAATTTCAAGCTTGTAAAAAATAGTATTGCCATCTTTTTAGTTAATCATAGGATATCCCTACTTTATTAAAAGAGTGAATCCGTCGAGTACTGTTCATTTTGAAACATTTTCGTTGTCCCAAATTGCCCCCACCATGCCGAGTACTGTTCATTTGAAGCATTTTCGTTAGCCCAAATTGTCTCAAATCCGTCGGGGGCGCTGCCCCCTCGACCCCCGCGACCTGACCTGGGATAGATACACTTAGATTGTACAAAAATAGAGACGAAGATCAGGCCATCTGACGAGCCGAAGATCATTTGCAGCTTCAAATCTCATGACCCTAGGAAGATTGTACTCGCACTAGATAATCAAATTTCAAAGAAGAAGAAGCACATCTACAGGTCCAAGATTAAGTCCTCTGATTGATATTACTGAATATAATACAGAAAAACTATAAATACTCTTTTGTTCAATATATATATATCCTTTGGTTTTCATTATAAATTATAATGTCTTGATGAGTCAAATATTTTAGTATTTGTTCCTTTTTTTTCTTTATTTAAAGTTTGTTAAATATATTTTGTTAAATAAAGTTTATTTAGCTAACTTCATTGAATATATAATATGCAATCCTAACATAATCTTAAAAATAACTACACCCGTGTATTGCACGGCCTAAAACTAGTAATAGTTTTAGCTAGATATACAGAAAAGTAGACCCAATTTTCCAATAAATTGATAGCAAATTCAAAGAAAAGCTCTTTGTAAAACTTTAATCATGACCAATGCCTAGAGTCCAATATACCTAACCTCCTATTATGAAATTTTGGCATTCACCATCTGAAGTTTATTCATTGGAAATCATAAAACGATGCTCTTCACATAAACACTTTTTGTTAGGGAAAAAAAAAATTCTCTGCAAATAAATAACTAAAAGATGCAAAACCCACTCTGAATTCGATCTTTTGAGTTTTTCCTATATTCCGAAATCAAAAGGGCTCTTGCAAATTTGTAATTTTACCAGAATTAACAGACTTTTTTCTCTCTCAAATTTCTTCAAACCTAACAACAGAAGCAGATTATGTACAATAATTCTACAAATAATCCAATCAAAAATGCCAAAAAAAAAAAAAAAAACTTGCTTTCCAGAAAAAGAGTAGCAGAAAATAAAAACAAAGAATACTTTAAATTGCTATAAAAAAAAAACTTGATGCAACGAAATTAATGATCAAATCATGCTTAACCGGCCGCCTGTGCTTATTTCTAACATGTTTAAATGTACGAAGATTTTTTTATGCTAATATCAAACCAAACTGACCAAAATGAAAAGGACGAGAATAATCTAAACCTAGTTTACATCAAGTCATCAACTACTTAATCACTACTATTACTTAACAGTTTATATCAGCAAATGATTTCAGGTAGAACCAGAGAGAAATCATTCCTCTTTTGAGCATATGATTTCCTCAACTTGAAGCATAGTGCCCACCAACAAAAAGTAATATAAAGGATAAGAGGAATTGATTTTCAATGGTCCCATAATCACTTTTTTTCTATGATTTTACTTTTCCACTTTACAGTAAGATTGTGACTCTGGGGACAAAGAAGGAGCTTAGTGTTCTTGCAATCCACATCACTCTTCAATCTAGATATTGAAACTTCAGAAACAAGGAACTTTATCCCTCTTCCATTAAGATATTTAGGTAGATATGGCTCATTGATGCACCTAATTAACCAACACAATGTCCAGTAGTTTTAAAACAAAAAAAAGAAAAAAATTGATGCTAAGTATATATTTCAACTCTTGTTGAACCGTTGGTGCAATGGATTGGACAGGGCGGGAGATAAATTTTGCCATTTATCTTTCTTTGTAATCTTATCCTACACTGTCCATTTCAGCATACGGAGCATGTCTTTCTTGTGAATCCAATTTAACAGTGAAATGAAAACTGAGATAAGTGTTTAGCAGCGTTGGGTTTTGATACACAATGAATCCCGAGCTATGATGTAAACGTTGGATTAAATCGTTACCAACAACCAACTCCAAATGTTCGACCCGAAAATAATGTGAGGCTGTTGGAAATAGCTTAAATAATTAATATTGCTCATGGTCCATATATATTATCTCTTGGATGGCTTTGAATCTTGACTCATTTAACATTTTATTGGTACAACTAAAGCAAAACATAGCCTATATATATTGTGTTTTTACCCCAACCGTAAAGTGTGAGATTTGTGTTGTGAAAGGAGAAAAATGTGACTGCATTTTTGAGAGAAGAACCGGTTGCTTTGAGCTCCGAAAAACTGGTGTCTTGTTCCTTCAATTTTTGGTCTCTATCTTGTGTTCATTCCATTGTTTTTCTCGTGCCTTCGTAGCTACAAATCATCACTGTTATTTTATCCTTTGTGGGTGAGACTGAGAAGCAATCGATGTGAATATATTGGTTGTAGGTTGGATCCATTTGAATTGGTTGTTTGGTAGAGAAAGATAACATGAAACTAAGCCCGAAAAACACCGTTTTGACAACCCTTAGAGCAAGATTCCGCGACAAGCGGTAATAAATTTCACCCTTGTCGAGTTTAAATTAACAATGAAATAGTCGTGTCACTTGATTCATTGAGGGAAATTTGGTTATGAACAGCAAAAAAGGACAGATTATAGCTTCTTTTTTCTTCCTCAATAATGTTCACTGCTATACATTTTCCTTAACAATGAGCCATGAAAGGGAACGCAACTCAGATGTAATTCAGTTTCACAATCTCAGTAGAAGTCAGAAAACTTAGGAGTAGAGAGCAAAGTTAACATGGCGGGATCTAGTTGATTCGGCTCTTCTCTAAAATCTAGTTATGAACGGAGCATATTGGTGTACGTAGTCGACCCCAAATTTAATAAGAAATCTTATTACAGGCACGTGCATCATTGATACCTTCCCAACATTTTCGTTCACTAATTCTTCAATACTTCTTAAAGGGAACTAGAGTATTCTTGATGGACAAAGCGTTACTATAGGTTATGCTTACGAGATAGTCTAATAATCAATGAAATACAGTGGAGAATGTGTATTGAGAGAGATGCAAGAAGTGAATTATTAAAAAGTTCTAAACGAAAATATTTAGTGGTTCATTAAACCACGACTCACAAGGAAAGAGAAATATTAGAAATTAAAAAGCATTCTACAGTCAAAGATATGCCAATGTTGCAGTATTATACACGTATGGCATGATAGATAAGATGTTAAAACATCATGCTTAAATCACGTAGTTATTACATCTCGCTTCTTAAGAGAGTTGTCGAGAAGTGACTATGGGGTCGCACCATGCTCTGTCTGACCAGGAGGAGGAGCAGACCACGGGATAAATGGCATCAGAGGAGTGCCATGCTGGATAGGTCCAGGTCTTACAGAAGCCTTTGAACTTGGAACTGGATCAATTGGACGGTAATCTTCCAAACTTGCATTGCCTTCATCGTCCTCGTGAGAGTGTGGAGTATTGCTATTCTCCTGCAGATTGTATGGAGTAAAAATGAACCAAGTTACATTCTTGTCATGAACAATACCTTGCAGAGTCTCTTTTAATTGAAGAGGACAAGAACATGAAAAATTCAAGGTCACTGGGGAATCTTAGGTGAAAGTGTATGGAGAAAAAACAGAGCCATATCACGTTTATGTCGTAAACAACACTTTCCATCTTTCAAAGTTCGGCCTCAAAAGCCTTCGTGTATTGATCAGAAGTCAAGTCTTGTTTGAAAGAAAAGAGAGTGCTCAACCGCAATGATAAATTGTAACAATATAAATTTCTCCACTCCCAGCTTAAGTTGTATTGAGTGAGTTTGATGTGGCATCAAAATAAGAAAAGTCTTGTATTCAAGTCGATTATGAAATTCCACGTGATTCCTTGGATGTAAACTGAATTTGATTTTCACGAGTGTTCATGTTGAAGATACAATATGAATAAATAAATTGCTCTCACGTGTAACCACTTATTTCTAGATGAGGTGATCTAACAAACAACACCATATTACGTTTATATTGTCAACAATACCTTGCATTCTCTCTCTCTCAATTAAGAAGGATACAAATATGAAAAATTCAAGTCTATGAGGAAAATCTTACATCTAATTGTACACTAAATGTGCTACACAGGTTATATGGAGCTAAGCAGTTAAGCCGTTAAGTTGAAACAGCATGTACCTTAAGTTTCCTTCTTTTCACGAACGTCTCAACGTTCCCAAGATGTATGGAAACAATGCCTGCAATCATCAATTCAAAGGTTACTAATGTAGTGTAATGCAAGGAAAAACTATTTAGCAAAGGTTACAGTACCATTTGAGCAATTCTTGTCATTCGTACACCACTCGAAATGCGACGAAGGAAATTGCTTACTGGCAAAATATAATCAATTGAAGAAACTTGAAACAAGTTATGATAAAAACATACACCATTTCTCTCCGTGCATGAAAATATCTGGTCACACACACGCATGCAATTACAAAAATTCACGTATCTTGCCAAAGTTCATCCAACAATAATAAATCAATGCCATTATGTTAGCAGCAAGTTCAGAACTAGAAATTATATTTTTAGCTACACCTTGAATTTAATTATAACAGAGAAAAAAATAGCTCGAAATGAGGTTCCTGCAAGGATCCACTAAAAGTTTCAGTATGCCTACAATATGAAGATAACTAGAAGATCGAATTTTGTGTTTGATCCTTTATTTCCCTGGGATCGTAATTCAATTAGTCAGATCACCGCCTAGTCAAGGCACAATCTGCAGGTTTCCCGTCAGTCCAATAAGATCCAAAACAAATTCATTCTTCCCTTCCAATCAAAGGGTGCAGGGGGCAGAATTTAAAGTCCGACTCAAAGGGTTCATAATGAAGCAACAATGTCAAAGCTGTCGACCAAATTTAGAAAAATATCATTACCCATAATCATCTAGTATATGAGCAGAAGTATTGAATCTTCTAACGGCTTAAACCATTAGAGAAGACAAATTTATCAATTTCAATTTTGTCCAAAACTCATCCTACAAATGCAGGTCGGATTATTTTTTATCAAAGGCCTAATTCATACACAATTTTCCAAGTGGACGGTAATTAGACTTCAACCTATAACCTTTATAAGCTCTGATACAGTGTTGAATCGTCTAATATAAAAACCTAGGCGATTACAGAGTTTGCCTTCAACAATAACACAAAGATGCAAAGCTTTGTTGACTTGTAACACAGGAAGAGTCCCAAAGTCTTGTTCTAATAGTTAAAGGTCCAACCTTCAACTTCAATTTCCTGACATAAATTCCTCACCCACCTTCTCCAACCCCTAGTTAAGTAGCCATTATCCACATATCACTGGACAATAAAGGAGACATTTAACCTTTAACAAGGAAAAGAAAAGAGAATGGTGAAGAGGGGCTCATCTTACACTCATAGTCCGACTACAAAACAAGCAAGAGTAAATTTGTGAATCGGTGAGAAACCATACACAGTATATACTCGTGAAAGGATCACTTTGTAAATTTCAAAGCGAAGAACTTCGACCAATAACTAAAAGAAAAGACTGTTGTACTAGTTACACAATTCAATTATTACCACGCCAATCTTTCTCTATCATTAACATATGCCTCTTAAATGATTCAACATTTCATGCATCAAATTCAAGTCATTACCCTGTCAAGAATCACATCATTAACATCATACCCAAAATTAGCTGAGGGCATAAAATAGATAAATAAATAGCATTGTCTTCTTTAGAAAGAGTTTCACTGATACAGAAAGCAGATAAGTTTACCAGGATTTAATGAGGCGTTGTCTTCATGGCTGGAATAACCAAGATACGTGAAACCTACTGTTCCAATAACCAAGAACAAAACCAAGAGCCCAAAATACTTCATAATCTCAGCAAAAGTGTTCTACCCACAAACTTTTCTTTTCTTTTGAAAACCCTCTTTCTTTTAACGTATTTTCTTGAAAATCTTAACAATCCACAAAAATATACGAAATCCGAGAAAAATAATACTAATATTGAGTTCTTTCCCCTTAAAATAAAAACTCAACCAATTGTAAAATTTCTTCGAACGGAGCAGCCTTTGGTCACCCACACTGGATTTTGAACGTCAAAAGAAGACCAGAAAATCAGGAAGGATATGGAGAAGAATGCCTGCAAGCCCATGTCCTAAAAATATGCATATCATGGAAGTAATGATATAATAATATTAATTGCATAAAAAATTATATTTGCACGTAGTGAGCATCAAGAAGTTCATGTGAGTTTCATTCTCCTCTATCGTCGTGGCCAGTGAAGTGGGCGTTACTGTGGCAGTAAATGGGTTGAGTGAAGCTATTACACTTTACTTTTTTTTTTTTTCTTTTTTTTTTTCCAGAAAACGACACAGGGGAATGAATGAAGCGAATTGAATGTTTACAGTGTGGTGAAATCTGAGCCTTACAGGGTTGCAAGATTGCCATTTGTACACGAAAGCACTGATTGGATTTGATCACTGTTTTTAGGTGCAAGAGTCGAGAGAGGAGATATATCTCAGTTCATTTAGCCCTTGTTTCAGCGTTATTTTTTTTGGAGGGTAATTGGTAACTAACGTTCTTACTTTTCATTGGATATTTTCATTCATTTTCTAAATTATTTGGGGCACATTTTCGTCTGATCAAATAGAAAAAATTAGAACGTTATAACAGTGACACCTGACATTCAGTACACTCTTGACAGTGAAAACTGTAACACATCAGTGCAAATTGGGCGATTTTACCCTTTTCTTTAATTGAAATGGAGCTTGCACCAAATGCCATGCTAAAGGGCAAAACCAGAAAAAGTGTGAAAAAGTAGAAAATGTATTGAGACACAATATGTAGCACAATGCTTGATTTAACCCAAAGAATGCATTTTTCTTTTCAAAATGGTAACCAAACGGAGGCTAAAAAGTACGAAATGACAAATATATTCTTCTATTTAAAAAGAATTAATTGCAATCATAATCTTAATTTTTTTAAAAGTGTAAACAAGTCTCAAATAAATTATTAAAATATTAATTAGCACATAATATCCATACATTTTACTATTATTGTGAAAAATGTCTATACCTTTCATTTTTTGACATTTTCACCTTTAATTACACATTTAATTGCGCAAACTATTCTTTTTATCCATTTGCATCCAAATTCTCAATTAAAAAATTGAGAAATGACAAATATACAATCGTATTTAAATTTAAAAAATAAATAAAGAAATTTATTTTTTTAATTTATAATTTTTTTAATAATTTATTTGGGATTCGTTTGCATTTTTTTTTAAAAAAAATTGGACAATGATTACAATTAGTTATTTATTTTTTATTTAAATAAGAGGGTATATTCGTCATTTCATAACTTTTTATTGAGAAATTGAATGAAAATGAATAGAAAAAATGAATTACACAATTAAATATGTAATTAAGGGTGAACATGTCAAAAAATTAATGGTATTGACGGTTTTCAAAATAATGGTAAAAGATAGAGATATTGTGTTTTAATTACCTTTTTAATAATTTCTTTGTGACTCGTTTACACTTTTTAAAAATTTTGGGATTATAGTTACAATTATTTCTTTATTTTCTTTTTGTTTTATTTAAACAATATGGTATGTTTGTCATTTCACAACTTTTAATTAAGAAAATAGATGAAAATAACATTTTGCGTAATGAAAAGTGAAAATAAAGATGAAAATATCAAAAAATGAAAGGTAATGACGTTTTCCATAATAATTGTGAAAGATAAGGACGTTATATGCTAATTACTCTTTTTTTCAAACACGTTACACTTACATTGTTTTGTCATTAACTTTGATATCATTCCACGTGACTTCTATCATTGTCTCTGATTTTTCCAACACTCTTTTACATCATTGGTGAAAGAATATATACATTAATGTAAACAACAATGTACGTTGTGTTTGACAACCATTTTTGAGAAAAATTGAATTCTAGAATAGTGATTGATCGGAAAATTTGTGGTTGAAAAGTAATGAAAAATTTTAGATTTGTGTGTAATATTATTTTATTTGGAGAATGTGCGGTTGAAATGAAGAAATAGAAAAAAATGAAAATGAGAATGAGTGTCAAACAGAGCCTACATCTAGAATAATTTAAATAGACATATATAAAAGTAAACAAAAATATATGATTCTAAATTCATTCATTAATATTTATCTTCATTAAATTCTTTCGCACCTGTATATAAAATATCATCTTCAACCAAAATCAAAATAATAATAGAAGAGATATCATTAAAGCAAATACATACAGACATAACAATATATGAAGAATATTTTGCAAAAGTGAGGATTACCTTTAATTGTGGTTGTGACCAATTTAGTACATGAAAGATTCTTATGTTCTGGTTATTTAATAGTGTGTATTTTGAATTCAAGTAGTATCGCTAAAAAATTTCATTCCAAACTATTTAAGTTTTATGTTGAGATATATAATTGAAGGAATTATGATGGATAAATATATAAAAATGATGTGGATATATAATATTTAAATAAATAAATTTAATAAGAATAATATTTGAATATATTGTGGATGAAAATATTATAGTACATTAGATTTATGTTTTAGTTTTCTATTTAGAGTTTATTTTCTATTTTCTATTTTGAGGCTTGTTTTAAGATTATTAAAAACATGTTTGATTTGTCATTTTATAAAATTTTCTCAAAATTGAAAACTAGAAAAGACGTTTGATTTGAAATTTTAGAAAAATGCTTTATGACATTTTACTCCATAAATTTTGATTATTAAATAAAAAAAATTTTAATGTTAATGCATTATCAAGTAATATATGCATTTTAAAATTGGTGAAATTTTACAATATTTTTTCTCGCTACAAAAGTAAAATAAAATAAATAATAAATTGAGTTCAAAATGTAGAAAATAAAAATTAAAAACGTGGACTGAGAATATTTATATTTATTTTCATTTAAATATTTTTTAGAATTTTTATGTAAATAATCATTAAGAACTTGATTTATTTTTATTTTTCAAGAAATTTTTATAATTTTATTTTTTCAGATTTTGATTTTTTGTTTTTTAGAATTATAGTATTTTAGAATTTTAAATTTTAAATTTTATAATTTTTAAAATCTTATTTTAAATAAAATTTTATTTCAACACTTCTTTTCCATATTTTTAATAATTTCAGAATTTTTACTGAAAATACTTTTAAAATTTAAAATTTTTATTTATTAAATTTTATAATTTTTAAAATCTTATTTTAAATAAAATTTTATTTCAACACTTCTTTTCCATATTTTTAATAATTTCAGAATTTTTACTGAAAATACTCAAATATCAAAAATGCGTTTTGAATTTTATGTTATAAATTTCCCCTTATTTTCAAAAAAATGTATTTTCAAAAATATCTAAGCTTTTCAGTAATTTGCAAATTTGAAAATTAAAAACAGCTTGAAAACATCAAACCAAACACATCCTTATTTTTTAAAAAAAATTTATGGGAAAACTGTAGCAACGGTCCATGACATTTTTAATTTTTACAGATTTTACCAGAACCTTCAATTTGTGTCAATGAGGTCACTAACATTTCATAAACATGCACTTGGAGTTCACGTGTATGTAACCAAGTAAGGTAGACTTTGACCAATTGTGATCAAATTGAAAGAGGTAACTTTTATATTTATAAATATTGATAATTAAATAATATAACTAAAGAAATAAAAAAGAAATTATCCCCAACATCCCCACCCCATCCACCCCCTATTTTCATCTTCTCCAATTACAAAAAGCAAACCAGAAAAAATAATGGAGGCAAATCCACCCATGAGTTTCCTGAACATAAAAATCTGGACAAGAAAATGAAATTTGAAACTGAAATCAGAAACAGATTCCAACCATTCTTACTTTCCCTTTATTTCTCCAATTTATTCTCCCCTATTAAAGCCCAAAAATTTAGACTTTCAGAAAAAATAAAAAACCCAACTGGGTGACTCCTTGGGAAGGTGTAGAAATTTGTAGGTTGTTGAATGAATATACAGGGGGGTGTGGAGTTTGAGGATGGTGACTGTAGCCGTGATTGTGGGTGCGGTAGCGTGTTTGTAGATGTCAATGGTTGGCCGTAGCTGAAATCAATGTCGTTGGTTGGAGAAGATGAAGATTGGGGTGGGTGGGGGTGGAGGTGGAGGTGTTGGGGTAAATTTCTTTTTTTCTTTTTTTTCTTTAGTTTTATTATTTTAATTTTCAATATTTAAAAATATTTAAAGTTACCATTTACCCCTTTCAATTTGGTCAAAATTGGTCAAAGTCCACTTTTCTTGGTCAACTGACGATTTTAGGAACAGTTTCCATCCAGATGGACTCCAGATACGTATTTATAAAAGGTTAGGAGCTTCCACTGGCACAAAGTGAAAATTAGGATAAAGTCTGCAAAAATTGAAAAGGTTAAGAATCGCTGCTACAATTTTTCCAAATTTTATTAGGGATAAATAAGAATAAAATAGATATATTACAGTTGTGAATAAAAATAACAGCTCTCTTTTTTGGGCTGATAAATTTTGGAATAGTGATTTTAGAGAATGTGTGGTTAAAAGTAGAAAAAAAATTAAAAAAATATAGTCGAAAAAGAGTTCTGGAAAAAATAAAGTTATTAATATTCATCAAGAAGAGGAAGAGCTAAAGAAGATTGTTGATTAGGTGGCTCGTATTCTTTAAATATGGAGGTTAGTTGATGGAGTCCGACCCCAAAGTAGAAAACGAGGAGTTAAAATAGAGAAAATTAGTGGTGTATAAAAAAATTACTCTCTAAACTTAAGAATGCTATTGATTATACAAATGATGTTTTCTAGAAATATAACAAGTGAAAATGCTATAAGATCATATAAAAGGTGCTCAAC